TCAAGGAATTTACTACATTAAAATCAAATCTCAAAATAACACTATAAAACCTCTCTTCTTAAAACATAATGCAAAATCATTGATTTTATAAAGTACAAACTGAGAAATCTTTATACAAGTATTTGTATAACAAATCTGGTAAAGTAATCATTTCTTATTTTAAACACAATTTCATAAATTTGTTCTTTCCTAAGCATTTTTCAAAAATATTAACTCCATGTACTTTCGCCTCAAACTCACCTTACCTCACTCTACTCAAGAAGTTTGTTGGAATATTGGTCTATTGGTTTCTTGGCACCCAAAATCCATGTATGCTACCCATACAGACATATATCATCAAACAAACACCGGTTCACGAATGAATCATCCTCAGGAAACTTTTTTGGGTCTTGCACCTTAAGGTCTCAATCACACTTCTTGCTTTTCAGGAGGGATGTGTAGGGCACAACTTGTGATGTCACACAGACTGTTACCAAAAACCACTACCATCACCAATCCCCCTTAGGACTAGTAGTCGCCTTGGTAACCCCACTCAAGAGCCCCAACTGTTTACTAACTTTCTGTCTATCGGTATTGAGCATACAAGTTTCAAACCATAATTTCATGATCACCTTCCATACCCAACACCAACCACAACTTTAACACTTTTAAAAAAATACATAGTTTTACAAAATTTCATATTTCTATTTCGAACAAAACACATTTTCAAAATAACTCACATACACACTAAAAATACAATTTGTACCATTTTATAGGAAATTTCACAAATTAAATTATTGAAAAGTTGTATAGATCAATACCACACTTTTCATACTTTAAAATAACTCAACAATACCCCAGATCATGGTAAAATATACTCAATTATATCATAAAAATCAATACCTCTTTCCACAATATTTCATTTCAATACTTATAGTCACTTTGATATTTTATCAAACAAATGATAGACATAAAATTCCCAAATACACATTTACGAATGAACATACTCATGCTTAAGAGACAAATCAAATACATTATATACAAAGTCATATATATTCTAAAGAAATCCAAAATCTTAAGTTCAATCAAATACCCAAAACAAAAATCAAGTTAGGGTTTCAAACCCACAATACTCAAATTCATTTAATGCATGTAGGTTTGCAAATTCATAGTAAACTCATCATTTAATTAAGACCCATAGATATAGATATAGAACATATATGAGATGCATCAATGTATATGCAAGAGAAAGGAAAACCCTACCTCAAAACTCAAGAACCCAAGCTCCACCTTCAAATGTCCAAGTGGATCCAAGAATCTTAAGTAATGTTCTTAGATTTTTAAACAAAAACGCAAGTTCTAGAAACCTTGTTCTTCTCTCTTCTCTTTCCCTTTATGTTGTCCTAGGGTTCTAATAGGAATTGGGTGAGAATAGAAAGAAATAATGGGATAAATGAGGCTAAAAATGGTGTTTTAAAACTAGCAAATACCAAAATTTACTGTTCATAGGACCAAAAATTTCAATTTTTCTTCGAAACTATGATTTTGCCATTAAATATCTCCAATTTGATCTCTATGACTACCTTAAGGTTTTTAAACGTTTCAGATTCATTTTTAATATTATTTTAATCTAAAAATATTTAGTTTTATGATTTATCTCAAAACCAAAGTCAATTTACATCTGAAAACACTAAAGTTACCATTTTATCCCTCCAAACCGCTATATGCGCTAATTGTCTATTTTAAGTTTTTTCGGACTTCCCAGATTTAGTCATTAAAAAAATTAATATATTTACTTAGTTACTCTTATCAACCTTAAATACTTTCAAAAATTAAATTTGACTAGAAGGTCAATACGCCTGTACCTTAAATTTACGCGACTGTTCCTTTAACAACAATTCAAAATTTCTCTCATCATTTTAATCATTTAAAAAAATTACTATCAAGTTAATATCATTTATATTTATATAAAATATGTGATCTCACAAATAATATGAGTGGTTCACCTTAACCGAAGGACTAAGGCTACATCCATTGTAATGGAAGTTCTTGTTCCCTAATGATTTTATTGCTTAAAGAAGAAGGTAGTGATTATAGAAGACTTGGATAGTGGCCTTTTACAAAGTGTGTTTTTAGGTTGCCTATGGTGTTCTCTCCCTTTTTTCCCGACTGTCACTTCTATCCTTTTCTCTAGGTTGTCTCCCCTATTCTGGTTGATTCAATAGTCCCCTCCTTATTTGTCTTGTAGTTGAAACTGTCAACCTGACATTTTCTGTGCCCACTACTCCTAAAACGGAATGTATGAGGAATCCTCACTATGATGAATATTCATTCATTATAGTTGTTAGGCCTTGTCCCCCTAACCCCTGTTCACATGGCATGATTGGGTTGTATCGAGTCAACTTGGTGTCGAGCTTAACTCCTCGAGAATACGCTGATCGCTGAGCTCATTGGGGCCAATCTGGGCAATGGTTTGGGCTGATCAATCATGGGACAAGACTGTGGTCCAACCCAAACATAAGAGATGTTATCAAGAAGGGTTGCTTGAATAGTCTTTCAGGAGCCCATTGGAGGCTTTGGGGCTCAAAGTGGGGCCTAGACTTAAATCCATCATCATCAAGTCCCAATTAATAATGAGATTCATTGTCAATTTAATCATAGATATTGATTAGATTAATAAATTAGGTCTAAATGGCATTACTCGTCTTATTTTGTATAGGAAAAAAAGTTATACTGTTGAGACCCAATTTTTTAATTTAATGATATATTAATTGGCATTGTCTATTAAAGATTAGTGTACTCGTAGGTTATGTTAGTGCAATAGTTTAGATTAACAGTTTCAATAGTATTTATTAGAATATAAAAATAATTTAATTCACACCAATAATTTACTTGTACCTTTACAGAAATAATATCATTGAGAAAATTTTCTTGATCGTCTCACATTTAATTTTTCTTTGGTGATTGTTGGGTTTAAGTTATATCTATCATCTATGGATAATTATAGGTACACAAGATTTATGTGGATGCAATTTTTTTTTAAACAAATTATTTGTATTGGATCAATTTTGAAGCAAGCCTAAGATAGACCTTGACAACGGGCCTGGCCAGCCAGCAAGACATTTTTTAGCCCATAGCCTGCCCATGGGCAAGGCCTCTAGGCTTTGACTAGTCAACTGACTAGGGCTGGCTAGCCCGTTAGGGATTTTTAAGGCCCATGGCCTACCCGTGGACCGGCCTATTGGTCCAAAAAGGGGCAAAATGTTCATTAAGCGTAAAACGGGTTTTTTATTAAAAAATTATTTTTTGTATAAAAAAAATACAAAAATATATTGACATATTTATTTTTTATATAAAAATTACAAGAAGACATCAATTACTTGAAGTTGGTATAAAAAATAAATTAACAAAAAAATTATTTATATTGATTTAATTGGCTTAAGAAGGCTGATATCTCTCCTAGAACTTAATATGACAAAAGTGTATTCTATAAAGTATTTGGGATAGAAGTACATTTGTTAAAAAAAGTCATAAAATCCCTTTTAGATGATGGATATTATGTATATATACACATACTCAACATAAAAAATAGTAAACATCAAACAATAACACGCTTAACAAAAAAATAATAACATCAAATAATAACACATTTAACAAAAAAAATAGTAACATGTTCAAAAAAAAAATAGTAATATCAAACAGTAACATGCTCAATAAAAATTTAATCATCGTAATAAAGTGACACCCCTACAACAGAATAAATACTCACATATGACGTCACTCTATTGCAATGATTAAATTTTAAATTAAATTTTTTATTAAATATGTTATTGTTTGATGTTACTATTTTTTTGTTGAATGTGCTGCTGTTTGATATTAATATTTTTTTGTTGAGTGTGTTATTGTTTGATATTACTATATATATATATGAAATTTCAAAATTCAAATGAAACACAAATATAAAAAAGAATCTTGAAAGTCTCACATGCTAATATTTAGATATTGAAAATATAAAAGTTGTCAATTAGGTATGTATTACTTGATGAAAAAGAAGACTTGAAAGAGGATAAGTTTTGAAGTAGTACTTAAAGCCAAATAAATTTTGTAAAAAGTATTCACATCCCATTATCTTTTGATTTAATTTAACAAATATATATATAGAGTTATAATATTATATTACAAATTAATTGATGGGTGAGACTATTTTTTGCATCACTACAAATTGAAGTGCATCCTAATTAAGTTAGCACATATATAATTGTCAATCATTTGCAAGTTTCAACCTATAAAAATTATAGATCAAATATTAAATAAACAATACAATTATGAAATATAATCTAATTATCTTATTGGACTAATGAGCAGACTAACGGGCTTGTTAACGAGTTTCTCAGCCGACCATATTCCTCATTTGTTTCTTATTATCTACCTTTTACGTTTTATTTAATGAGGTGTATTTATAGATTGACTTGAGTGGGAAGGTAATTTTGAAAAATTATAATTATTAACAAACATACAAGTTAAATATATTACTTAAGTGATGTTGATAGCGCTAGACACACTTTTATGTCCCAGAGGTGTGTCAATCGTTCATCAAAACATGTCAGGTGGTATCAAATAGAGTCAATAGGCGCCAAGTGACTATTTTCTTGTGGAATAATAGTGCCTCATTCTCTACTTGATACGCCATTCTGCGATGAGGCCGAGGATCGTGGTCCGAACCGATATGTTTGTACCTTGTCGATCAATGTGGATGCAATATAACCCTGTGTTAAAAACAGCCTCTATGTGTCACCCACCACGCACACGGCACACAATAGCAACAAGCAACACCAAACACGCACACGGTCACATAATAGCTTCCATGAAATAAAACATTATCATTATCACCCACAATTACTATCTCCAGCATCAATAATTAAACTAAACTAACCTAAAACGACGACGTCATAAGATTAACACATAAAACCTTCCACTAATATTAATTATTACCATCACCCCTCCCTCCCCATGTCCGTGCACCTCCCCCAAATCACTATTTATTTCCTAAAAAATTACTCAATTATTATTCTCATCTTTACGTGAATTGAGTCGTTTTTAGGGTTTGTAGATTCGAATTCTTAGGGTTTTTGATTCGGATTAGGGGGACTGTTTTGCTCTGTTATGGCTCAATCGATGAACAGAGGAAGGTTTGTGGTTGGGGATTATGTAGTTGGGAAGCAAATTGGGGCAGGTTCGTTCTCGACGGTTTGGCACGCCAGGCACAGAGCCCATGGCACTGGAGTGGCGATCAAAGAGATTGACATGTCGCGAATGAGCAGGAAATTGCAGGAGAGTCTCATGTCGGAGATTGATATATTGAAGCAGATTAGACATCCTAACGTCATTCGATTACACGAGATGATCGAGGTCCGTGCCTTCCAATTTTTTTTTTTTTAAAGTCATAGATACAATTTTTGTGTATGTGTGTGTGTGTGTCTGTGTGACAGTTTTAGTTTCTGCTTGGTTACTTAGAAAGTTCAGGGGAAAATAAACGGAGTGGAACTTTGAATTTATTTATTTCATGTTATATGGATTCCCGGAAAGCAAGACACTTACCTATGTTGTTCTTTGAAGGTTTTATAATGTGGAAATAAAAAAAGGTGAGGTGAAAAAAATTCAAATTAATAGCTTGTCTGGTTGCTGAAACGACTGAAAAAAGAGGGATCAATATGAAACTCTGATTCTATAGGTGCTATGAATGAAGTAGAAAAAACATCTAATCATCTATTGGATTGTTAAGACATTCAGGAAAAGAAAAGGGGAAAAAAAAAGAAAGAAGAATTGTGCCGGCTAGGCTGAAAACTTTGTTTCAGCTTTTCTTTAAGCAACTGGGTTGTGATGCAGCTTGTAAGCTGCATTTTTGAATCAATGATGTTTGTTCTATAAATGAGGATATTTTCGTGGAGTGTGCAATTGGTTACATTAGGCCTTTGGCATTATGGTTATGTTGTTGTTCTTTGGAGTGAAAGTTTACCTTTAATTGAGTCAATGTGCCTAACATTAGGAAACTGGAAAGATATACATTGTGTTGGAGTACTGCAAAGGGGGTGATCTTTCCATGTTTATTCAACAACGCCAAGGAAGGATCCCAGAAGCCACTGCAAAGCACTTTATGCAGCAGCTTGGTATCTGAAGTCTTATATTTTTAATTTGCTTTTATTATTCGCTTTTTCCACAAGTGCCATGATTGTCACAAAGTTTTCACTTTACAGCGGCTGGTCTCCAAGTCCTTCGTGAGAATAACGTCATACATCGAGATCTAAAGCCACAGGTGTGCCCAAATCTTCTGTGTCTCATACTTCACCTTTTGACTTAGATTGGTAACTCTTGTGAATTTATCCATTTTCTTCTCGGGTATTGGTTCTCTAGGCAATGATTAAAAATGCCCTTTGTCATTGTGATTTGTGAGCTAGAAATTTGCTCTCATGTTCCTTGGTCAAATGGAGGCATTTAGTCATCATTTTTTGTTAATATACAGGAGCAGTAATCATTAACACATTCTGTGCCCATTTGAGTTTCCTTACCTATAATACTGCACAGGTTGTCTTCCCTCATTATTCCGTTTTCATCATAATGAGTTGATGACAGTCTCTTTTTTGTCTTTATATAAGCTGGCAACCAGCCATCAATTGTATATAATGGTGAAATTACTTCTGAGGAAATTGTGGCATTGGTGCATGCATGTGGTTGATTCAGCAGGGGTATGCCCCTTGTACATCAGTTATACTTCTGATTAATCAAAAAATCATCTTTCGAGAATTGGAGCATGGGAGCATGCAAAGCGTTTGTTTACAACATTCTACAATTTGATTATGGTTGGCAGTTCCATACGTTGTGAAGCCCTCTACTTTGCTAGGATACTAATAAGTTTTTTTGGAGCAGCCTTTAACTTTTTGGCTTGGTCCCGTCATATATTGGTGCTTATGAAAGTGTGTTTTTTCGAACATGTCTCCTTTCATTAGGAATTGGAGTGAGGCTAATAGTATGCTAGAATGGGCATTTTGTGTTACTAGTTGTTGCACATGTGCATTGCACATGGATTATCATGAATATGAAATGGTGTATATTATTGCTACAAAATTATCAATTATAATCACCCAGTCATAATCAATGATAAAATTCATATTGAAGGTGGTCCATATTGCTAACACTTATTACCACTGTCCTACTTTCAAATAAATTCATCATAGTGATTCACAGAAAAAATCATAAGATCCCCACCTCATGTATTCTTCGTGATTTTGCATCTAAAGTTCTTTTTTTGTAAATCTAAAAAATATTGAATTGATTGGATTGAAAAAAAAAAAACTAAATGTTACTGGAATTGTCAAGAAAGTAGCATTGACACTTAGTCCCACAATTGAAACAATTTTGAGCACTTGACAACGAAGAGCTAACATTTATCTAATATTACAGTTAGGGAGTTGAATTCTCAACTTATAAAAGTACAACAACGGTTAAGATTGATCTAATCTTCATTTACTTTGATCTAATAGTATAAAATTCATCCCAAAATTTTCCTTTCCCTTAAAAAAAATAAAAAATTAACTTCTCTACATGATTCAATGTCAGACAACCCAATCAATACACTTCCCAGAGTCAGACAATCCCATCAATCCACCCTATTTCTCTCTTCATTTTAATATTAAATTGGGTAATTAAAAAATTAGATTATTATTTAAAATAATTACAAGATCAATCCAATTTTTGATATTGTATAGTGTATTTAGACACGGAGTTATTGGTAGTCTATCTAATATTATAGCTAGCAATTTGAATTACCCATTTATAAAAAGCACAACAACAGTTGAGATAAATTCAATCTTCATCTAAATTAATCTAACGGTACAAAATTCATTCAAAAAAAAACAATTTCCCGCCCAAAATTATTGTCTTCCCTATGCATCCCAAATGTCAGAGACAACTTAACTAACATGTTACTCAATGACAAGCAACCTCACTAATCCACAATTATCTCTCTCGTCTTTTCGTCACCTTTTTCTTATTTTCTCTTTGTTCACTTTAATTTGACATTGTATATCTAAAAAACAAATATGAATGTTATACAATGTTTGATTTTTGGTATTATAAGTGTTTTCAGACATGAGGTTATTTCTAGTAAGTACAAAAGGAATATTAGTGAAGGATAATATCTTCTTTTTTTTTCGCTAAACGGTCAGTGCTGAGAAACAGTTTCAACAGATACTTTTTTTGAAAAAAAAATATCATTTCATGCATACTTCAAATAGAGTCAAGAAACAATTTTTTTCTATAAAAATGTCTAATGGGTTTCTATACTTTGTAACCCTTGAAAAAATGCGAGCTTGTCAATTCACATCACATGAGATACACATGGATGTGAGATTGTCTCAAGTATAATAGCTTGTATGACAACACTAGCAAGACATTGTGAATTTGGAGTTCACAAAATCTAAATGGTGATTACATCTAGATGAAAAGATAAGGTAATCTAGATCAAAAAGAAGAGAAAAATAATAAATCAAAGTCTATAAGTATGTCGTTAGTATTCACAACCACACTATCAACAGAACAACAAAACCTAATTAAAAAAATGTAATGTATTATCAGAAAAGAAAGGAATATAAAATCAAGCAAATAACTAATTAAATACCACGACAGTCACCTGAAATACTAATCCCAAGCATCGATAACCAGTTCAATCTATACGCCCAAAAACAAAATAATTAAACATCCAATCAAAATAATTAAATCAAACTTCAAAACCTAATTAAAAAAATGTAATGTATTATTAGAAAAGAATGGAATATAAAATCAAGAGAATACCTAATTAAATGCCATTGCCAGTCCCAATCATCGATAACCAGTTCAATTTATATGCTGATAATCAATGAAACATCAAGCTATAAAAACACATAAGGGCAAAAGTTACAAAAAAAATATTTAAAATAAAAATAATCAAAAAAGACAAGCGATCCTACTTTTTGAATTAATTTAGATATCGTCCCAATGACTATAAAATGAAAATTTAAATCAAACGACAAAATTGAAGTAAAAAAATGTAGTGCACTATCATAAAACACTCGAAAATAAAACTAACAAACAACTAATCAAATACCCTAACAGTGATTGACATTGTCCCAATCGGTCCAACCTCAATACCCATAAGCATTGAAGCATCACACTTCAAAACACAAACCCAAAAGGCTACAAAAAACAACCGAAGAAAAAATTAGTTAAATAGATGTAAATAAAATAATCAAACAAGACAAAAAAGAAAGGACAATTTATAGGACAAAGAAATTCATGAGTTTGGAGACGCCTTAGTGAGATGACGATGGAGGAGGGAGAGGTGAGAGAGAAACATGGAAAGTGGGATAGACGATGAGATTAACCAGTTTGGAAGAGTTATCCATTTAACAAATTAAGTTACTTAGAAAATTAAAGATGTTTCATTAAATAAGGCTAGAATTGTGTTTAAATTTTGTGTTCAGGGTAAAATAGTCAAATAAAAGTTTTTTACTCTTGTTGACATTTTGTAGTAATATAAATAAATTTAAACAAGTTAACCATAATTTAGAACTTGAGGATTGTATAACTGCAGTCAACAAAGTATGAGGATTGTATGGAGGGAAAATTATCTGATTGTTGTAGTTCATTTCTTCAAAGAATGACATGGGACTTTTGGTGTGGAAGGACTTTGTTTGTAATATAACAATGCAATTCGGCATTTTGTGTTTGTATTTCCATATGTAATGTATCTCATTTTTTGGAATAGAATCTCCTTCTATCCACAAAAGAAGACAACTCTATTCTGAAGATTGCAGATTTTGGATTTGCAAGGTAAATTTATTTTTAGCATCATATAATACTTCCAATAATGGTTTTCTTTTGACATTGTTTTGAAAGGCACATGTTTATCTTTTTCTTTGATTATACTTGTCTCTCTCTCTCTCTCTCACACACACACACTCACACACTCACACATGCAAGCACACACATTCTTTGTATGTTATTACTTCTCCTCTTGCCAACCAGTTGCACTTTTATGCAAGTAATTGTTTTAGATTTTGATATTCTACCTTTCACCAGCTATCTAGATGCATCTCTCATTTTTAAGGCTTTCAATACTACTTATTTCAGTTATTTGTTTTGTATAATTGCTATCGAACTTCGCAAATTTCAAATGCATAAGCATGGTTGTTTGAGAGTTGTCCATGGGTAAATGCATATTAGGTCTGCCCCTTTTTCTTGGCATAATGAGGTAGTGCCATGAGCTTTCAGCTTAAACTAGAAATTCATTTACCTTGAACCATATAGGAATAATTCAAACTGAGCCTGGCCTGAAAGCATATAGCTACTTATTTTCTTTTGGATAAATTACGTGCTAGTTATGTTTGCCTTAAATAATACAAGAATACTATTACTTTGATTCAAACCGTACATTGTTCTGGGCATACTTATCATAGTGGTAGCTGTGATCACAATTTTTTCTACCTTTTCTAATTACAATATTGCACCAACAATTGTCTTCCCACAAAATTGTCAATACCAAAGTTCCAAATCCCTCTAAGTAGGCCTGTCTTGTAGATTTTTCCCTCTCGCATCTGTAACATATATTCTAATTCATTTTTCTTTCTTCCTTTTGAAGAACCAAGTGGGCTAATATATTATTTTCCCCACTTGAAACTGACACCCATATTCTTTCTAAAATAATTTTCATTTTCTTCGGCAGATCTCTGCAACCAAGAGGCCTTGCAGAAACCATATGCGGTTCACCACTCTACATGGCTCCAGAAATAATGCAACTTCAGAAGTATGATGCAAAGGTGATATTTCTTTTGTATATAGGGCAAGCATTCTTCCAGCTTCACATAACCTTCCTCTATTAACCTTGAGTTTAAAACGCAGGCAGATCTCTGGAGTGTTGGCGCCATTCTATTTCAGCTAGTAACTGGGAAAACCCCATTTACCGGACAAAATCAAATACAGGTTTTCCATCTTTTCTGCTAAGACACCTAAGATAGTTCCATGTAGTTCTTGATTTTGTGCTGCATTTTTGACTGCTTACCTAAAATGCCCAAGGTTTTGTAAGAACTTTTGATATCTGCTACGTTTCACCTCCTTCTTGCATTGATCATATCTTTTCTTGTCGCATGGTTGATGCAGTTGCTCCAGAACATTGTGAAATCAACTGAATTGCATTTTCCTCTGGATAAAATTTTAAGTGCTGACTGCATGGATTTGTGCCGAAAATTGCTGCATCGTAATCCAGGTATTCCTTGCAATGTCTCTTGATATTTGCAGAAAACAGGATCTTATAGGGTAATAAGAGTTATTAGTTAATTAACGAGCATATCTTGGAAGTTGGATATTTTATTGTATTGCATGAACATCGTAATAGTATTGGTTTTTTTCCTTCCAAAAACACAATATAATTCATATGCTAGAAGTTTATTTTGTTTGTTACACTAAGTTGTATAAAATTGAATGGCATACTGACATTGCATTCAATGGCTGAAGCTGGCGATGGATCTTGTTGTGGTGGAGGGTGCTTCCCCCTAAGGTTCAAAAAATGACTTAAGATTGCATAAATTGCATAGTATTCACTAGTCCAATTACATAAAGTTTGCCCCGACAAACTAGTTTTACTCTCATAGCTGTTGCCTAAATCTTGTCTACATGGTCCCCTCCCTCACCCCCCAACAACTAAAAAAAAAACAAAACAGCCTTAATTGCTCAATCTGTTCGTGACTATAGGGTTATTGTATTGCTTTAAATTTGATGTAGCTTAAATAGAAAATGCCCAAGAATTCCTGTTTTTAAAATCATATTGAAAAAATAACCAATGTGGGCAAAAACCCAAATTTGCTGGAAAATTTAATTTATTTCATCTGACTCAATCATTACTTCAAGTAGATATGCGTTAGTTGCCATCAAGACAATGTTTGGCTAGCTAATCTATCTTGATGTCCCAGAATTTGCCTACGAAACCAGATTCCAAACCAACCTTTTGAGTACCAAAGGATGATACTCAACAAGGCTCCATACCATGACTCTAATAGTGTTTTTAAAACAACTGTTTAGGTTTCAAAAATATTTTTCAATGATTAAAATGAGAGTCATTTTATTTTTCATCTAATACCACCCTAAGCTCACTAGGTCTCTAAGTCATTTACCTCACCTAAACCATTGGATAGGAAGGGTAGACCTCTGAATGTAGCAATTTAGCTTTAATCTTCTTTTTTTCATTCTAGGCTTCAGTTTTCAACCTTGTTAGCATCATAACCATCGAACATGGCGACTAAATTACGACTTTGTACAATCAGACATGAAATTTAGCCAACACACATCTAGAAATCTAACAATCTTTCCATTTGGCAATTCCGTGAGAAAACATACTCGAGTACAAAAAAAAGTATAACTCAATAAACTTGATAACAAACTCAAATTATAATTTGTTCTTCTCTACTATAGTACATCATCACAATATAAAAACTACAAGACACAATGACATAGACATGAATCAATTCTTGAACCTTTAGCTCATCAATCATTGTCACAAGTCCTGCACACTCACCACTTAAACGAAATATCTCGTTAAACGCATAGGGTATAGAAAAAACTATAAAACAACACAGGTATAAGATTGGTGAACATGACCTGCCTCTGAATTACACTTGGTGACAGTGTGGTCATGCCACTGGATATCCAACAGTTGGGTGAATCCACTTGCTAGATGTGGTGTTATATTGTGTTACCATTCCTTTTTTTTTTTTTTGATTTGCATAATAACTGAATATGAAAGACAGATGCTACACATGATCTTAGCCAAAAGGCTGTGATATGAGCATAGGAGTGGAACGAGAGTCATGAGATACTTCTATGTTTCAGTGGTTTCAGAAATATGCAATCCTGTAATTCCGAATTAAATCATGACCTCAATTCTATTTCTAATGTTTTTCTATATCCTTTCCAGTGGAGCGTTTGACGTTTGAAGAGTTCTTTAACCACCCATTTCTTTCTCAAAGGCAACCAGATGAATTGTTGAGGTAAACCTGGTGTTAAATAAAAGTTTTCTTTGTGGCATATTATATAGATGCCCCTTAAATTTTGACACTCAATTTGACTCCCTCAACTTCAGTTATGTCTTAATTTTAACATTATATTTTTATGATCATAGCAATTAGCCCTTTCCGTCCAATTCCTCTGCCAAATCAAATGGAAAGGCCCAAGACAATGGTTTCAGTTTTAGTTTTAATTTGGGATTTGAATGGAAAGGGTTGATTCATACGAGTTTAAAAGCACAAGGTTAAAATTAAGAATGGATGAAGTTGAGGGGGCAAATTGAAATGAGTGGCATAGTTCAGTAGTAGATTTCTCATCTCTCATCTGAAAAGATGGAATCCACTGTGGTATGCAGGAATAGGAGATCCCCAAGAATAGTAGGTAATATTCCTCCTCCAGAATGCAATCCTGTGAGGAACACAGAAGAAAGTTCTCAAGAAGATTGTTTACCGTTCAGTTTAGATGATGATCCCTGTGGTCCTGATGGGAGTCCATCCTTTGTTAGGAGATCCCCTTTGAGATCTACATATGGATTCTCTTTAGAAACAAAAGTTGATAGGAGGGAACTGTTTGAAAGTTCAAATAAGACAGATCCCAATTCCAAGTTTAGCAGTGTCGCACATAAACGTGAAATTTCTGGTTTAAGACTTGGCAGTCGGCGGCCCTCCGAAGGAAATCTGAAAGATTCTCTTATATCAGTGGACCACAGACCAGTAAATATGCATTCAAAAGGTACTCTGTTCATACAATGTTCTAAGTTTTATTCTAATATAATATGGTCTTGATGCATACTCTTAACTTAGTAAAAACAATTCCAATTTATCACCTTATTCGCTGGATTCTACAGTTGCGGACTCGTTGGAATTGATTGATCAAGATTATGTTCTTGTATCTGGTCCCCCTATCGACGTGTCTTCTTCAGCGAGTGCTTCTAAGCTAAGCCATTTGTCTTCAAACTCTGGGAGTCCCCCACTAGAGTCTGGGAAGATCAAGGCCACACCTAGTGCCCCAGTGCCAATCATTGGCGCAGCAACCAGTCAAATGGGTTGTGTTGGAAGCTTGGAAAGTCACAGCTCTGTTCCTTCTGGAACTTCACCGAGATCCATGGATACAGGGGACTGTTTGGAGCAGCCATCAACTGGTTGCTTGAAAAGGATTCAGTCATTGCGGCAATGTGCGTGTGCCATCACAGAACTAGTAAAGGAAAAGGTAACTCATAACCTTGTCGCATATTCACTCAAACTTGCTTCAATTCTGTTGAGAAGAGAAAAAATGCACTCCGTTGAGTCACCAGAGGGGTGACACAGAAATCTCTCCCTCCATCCCGGCAGCAATATTCCTTCATAATAACCTCCCCAGTATACGCAGTCAGGACAACCTTTTTTAATATATTTGGTTACTTGGTTGAAGCGCAGATGGTTTAGACAATTCTGATGACTACTCCAGCTTAAAGTTTAATATATTTCTGAAAGAGTGGAGATGCTAAAACTGTCCCATGTTATATGCTAAAGGTGTTGCCTGGGAACTTTTTATCTTTTTCAGAATACGCGCCATGCATACACCGAATATTCCATAGCTTCATCTACCAACACCAACCAACACATGTGGTGGAAAGGAAGAAGGACAGGGATCATTAGGTTAGAAAAGTGATAACTATAAATTCTCCTTAGATTTGAACTAATGACCAGTCAATTAACAGTCGACCGCTCTACCAATGAGCTATTGAGGAACAACGGACTTAAGGAAACTGACTCTTGTTCTTTGGCCCAACTTATGACCGAACAAATACGAGTTCGTCACTCTTAGGCCTAAAATTGTGGATGTGTGATCAATGAATTACAGGTCAATGAGGTGTCATGTGCCAACTACTTGCCGCCTCTTTTGGGACTCCCACTCCCCATTCCCATTTCCTCCCTTTCATTATTATGTAGGAGTTTGTATTTGATGGGATGCTGGTAGAGACATTTGAGTTTGTATGGTAGGTCTGAGGTTCAATCCTTACGGTTAACCAATTAAAAGAATTCTTCTAGGAATTAGGATCCGAATACGGTGAACTATTTTGGACAGTCTTCAATTTGTCGTATGTGAATTCATTTATGCTCTATCTCACCAGAGTAATGTTCGTATTTTGGCATAGACTCTTTCTAAATACTAATTCCAGACCCCTGCACATGTGCCACATTCACCAATAGCGATTTTTGTCTCTTTTACTTGTGTCTTACCGTACCCCAAATTTTCTCTGCTCTGCTCATATAGGGTTTTTTTGTTGTTGGTTTGTGTTGTATTTGTCTGATGATAGAATGAGGCAGAAAGGAAACTTGAAGCATTCTCCATTCAGCTTGTAATCCTTGCAATATGGAAGCAAGCACTGCATATTTGCCATACACAAGCCGCATCAGCTATTGAAGGAAGTCCAACCCAAGAAGTTGCTAGATTAAGGGAGATCACTCGGAAGGAGCATGGTAGTCCTGATATCCAAGAAGGTCTTGATACTGCTAGTGCTACTCAAGTGCCACGGGATATATGCTCTCAGATTGAGAGGACATTCCTTCTTGAAGTTGCGAATGCTGAAGAATTTGCCAAGGTTTTAGAGCCTGGTATGGCTTTCAAGTGTTAATTTTACCCACCGAATCTTCTTGATAATATGATGATGACATTAACACGAATTTAAAGTTGGGGCCTGTAGTTTTTCTGTGATTTATTTTTTCTCTTTATTCTTACCTATCCTTCGAATTCATTATTTTAACACCTTCTTTTGCTGGCTTGTTCTGTAAACCATTTTTGATTTCTTACTGGACAACAAGAAAGAGCCCTTCCTTCTGGTTATGGTTTCGCCTTCTTTTTAATACGAATTGTTGCTCCATTCATTTTAGCACTTTTAATTAGACTTGGATTTCGGAGCTGCGTGATGGCCCCAGTCCCACTGATAACACAGGAAAAGAACTGTATGCTAACAAGTAACAACTGTATTTTTTCTTTTTTTTCTGCTCTTCCAAAGAAGAAAAATATTGTTGCTGGGATTGGGAATCTGTGAGCTATGCCAGCCAATGAGATATTACTTTGAGCTGTTCTAAAAATACACAGCATAATTTTAGAAAATATGGAATTGTGTCCGGCTTGTACCCATTGATATGATATTGACTTTTGGTGACTTCTTGATTTTATTTAATGATTTAATTCTATTGGGGATTACGAAATTCATAATATTTTTTGTCTTAATTCAGGAAATACAGAGATGCCAGATGCAATGGAGACAATATTTCAGGCTGCCCTTGCTCTGGGGAGAAGTGGGGCTGTAAGTATATATTTAGCATGCCTTTTTCATGTTTCTCCCGTGGTAGTAAATCAGTGATCTAATTGCTAGAAGACAATGTTTATTTGTTTACTTATACATTGTAATTATTAACTGGTATGTAGCTGCAATAAACTAAAATAACCCCCCTCCCCCAAAAAAAAAAAAAAAAACACGCACACACACACATTATGATTGGAAGGATAAAATAGAGAGGATTTATTGTGGCCCCACCAAGACGTTCATAAATGGCCCATACCTCCTTAGTCCTTACTTCCAACATAGACCTTGGGTAGACTTAACTGGGATAGAATACCCATGGCTTAGAGAAACTTAAGGGAAGCAAGTTATGCTTATCTCACATTCTGTGTTACAAATAATAATAATCCTTGGACATGTTTCAGACTCTTGTTTTATGGGCATTTCTGATCATCATATTAACCACATTTTGAAAATAAGTGGAACTACCTTCCAAAAAACAAAAGAAAGGAAAATAAGCAGAAATGACATTTGAAAACAGAATGCATGAAGTACATGCTTTGATTTTCATGAGTAGGAAAGAAATTATGAAGACTCTATTCTTCTTTAGAGGTGAGGCTCCATTGGCTTGTCAGAAAATGACCAGAAGGAGATAAAGATGCCCAAAATTCCTCACTGTCAGCTCCAAAAAAAAAATAATATTCCTTGTCTTAGCATTTGAAGTTTTTTTCCTCAAAATTTTTTCTCCGTTTCTAGACACAGTAAAAATTTCAATAAAACTACTACCTACATTGTGAATTTTTTATTTTTTGGGGTTTTTAAAGAGAGGATACTATGTGTATATTTAGTGTGGGACTTGCATAAATGCACAATCTTGGATATTCTAATTTAGAATCGTCATCTGGCAGGTTAAGGAGTGCATGGGTGATACTGAAAACGCAGCTGTTTTTTATTCAAAAGCAGTGCGTTTATTAGGCTTCCTTCTGGTGGAAGCACCATCTCTCATTCTTAATCCTCCCTTCTCCATCACCAATTCGGACCGTTACAGGCTTAGAACTTACATTGATGTGCTTAATAACCGGCAAACCATTTCAAGATCTCAGAGGATGGCTCTTCTTAAGGGTGAAGATCAACAATGCCCTCCTTGAATACAAGGGTAATGCTGTTGCAATTTGCTGCTAGTATGCCATGTTTTACTCTCTAAAATTCTTTATTTGTACAGCTATTCTTTAGGTTACTGTGGAGCGCTAGAGGAGTTGACCTGTGTGTGGACAAAAGGTTGTTTAATGTACAGTGTTTCTGTAATCTTAATCTTTACTTAATTCCCACAGAAAAAGAAAAAGAAAAAACACTTGAGAATGGCAAACATTTATTTATTTTTTCTTTCGTTTCATTTGGGTAATCGCGTTCTTACATATTCCAGTAATGTCAGATTACTCTGTTGCTGGATGCTTAAATCCACTTGAAACAGAATAGAAGGTTTCAATCCATGGTGTGGTAAACATTGGTGATAGAAGGATCCCGAGCAATTTATTATCTTATTCTTGGACATCATGGGACAAAAGGGCTGGAACAGTGGTAAGTTTGCACGGGGGTTTTAGAATCATGGTATTGTCGTGGATTCAAGTTACAAAAATAATTTATTCGTGTAGCGGGTAAGCTTTTGCACAGCAATAAGGATGTGTTTGGATGGTAAGGTTGGATTGAATTGGAGATCTTAAAAAATATACATTCCTATCCAACCCAAACTGACCTAGCATTAGATTAGTTAGGATTTAATGGTTATATTCTATCATTTGTAGTGTTTGTATAACAAATAAGCACTGCTATGGGATTCATGGAGAAATGTGATGAAATATGATACCATTGACTATTTTGTTTCTAACCTATCCAGTTCAATATCAATTTAGTTTATGAATTAGCCTTTGATTAATTCCAAATAAGTTTTTCTTACATATAATTTTGAAAAGTATTGTAAATTCATATCTCCTAGATGAGTGTTTATATGTTACGAGAATTATTGAGAATTAACTTAAATTTTCATTAATTAGTTATTTTATTATTAATTATTAATTAATCTTAGTCAAAATATGATATTGTTTTATTAGAATTATTTTATTATTTAAATTAGTTGTCTTGTTAGAGAAGATCTCTTAGTTTTCTTGAGGTATGTCGGCAGAGCCTTATTTTGACAAAATAGATTTTTTGAAAAAAAAAACAGGAGGACGAAAAGACAAAGCAGACCAGAGAAAAAGGGGGAGGGGGAGGGGGAGGGGAGAGGGGAGGGGGGGGGGGGGGGGGAGAGAGAGAGAGAACAGAACAATTTGGTAATTTGTATTAGTTATGTTTGGCAAAAAAATCCTATTCTCCACGTTGGGTTTCATTTAACCCACGTAGATGAGTTAAAATTGACTTTTTAAACCGAGTTGAGATAAAATTTGAATGGAATTTTCGATGTATTTTTTACTTGCTAAACGTGAGATATATAAACCTCACATTATTTTTTTTATTCCTTCCTATCAGAATTATTTCTCTTTAACTGGCAATCCAAACGTACCCTAATCTTCTGTGGATTTTTCGGTGATGAGAGTGGTATGCACTAAATTCCTATTATATCTGCTGACGGTAGGTGGAAATGAGATTGTTCTATCATGTCCCTCAGAGTATTATCACCAAAAGGCATCAGCGGTCGTCTCTGGGAGTCCAAATCAATGAATGCATCCTCGACTTTGATCTAATAGACTCTCAGATCTCTTGAGGACCATTCTTTATAGTTTACTTGATCACCTCAGCATTAGACCACATAATTTTAGACCTTGGTTTGTTAAAGCAGACCAAAAAATTGTTTATCCTTTCTTATATTTGAAAAATATGAAAAATAATAAATATTGGAATTAGAATTTTTAAAGGAATTATGAGAGAAAAAAATGCAATATTCAATTGGATTCAGGACACTTCTTTCTTTCAAGACAAGGTTTTGAAAGTGTGTTATTTGGTGATAAATCCATCAAAGAAACTTGTTTTATATTAAGGCTATTTTGATCTCCATTATTCAAAATACCCTCATTAATTATGTTTAATTAAAATAAATTTAATAACTAACAACAACTAAAAATAGTACCAATCAAAAACAAAAAATAGTACCATTTAAACACAAAAAAATAGTAACATTTAAATACAAAAAAAAATAGTAATATTCAAAAATAAAAAATAATAAAATTGGGTATTAATATTTGGAAAAATAACAGTAGTAACATGCTCGACAAAAACAGTAACATGCCAAACAAAAATAATTTATTCGCATAGAGGGTAAGTTTTTACACACTAATAAGGGGTGTGTTTAGATGACATTGTTGGACTGAATTGGAGATCTCAATTCAAATCCACCTATTATTGGATTGGTTAGGATTTAATGGTTATATCCTATTATTTCTAGTGTTTGGATAACACATAAGCACTTATGTGCAATCTATGGAGAACGATGATGAAATATGGTACTACTAGTCATAACATTTGCCCGAAGGCATGATGATAGAACATAAAATTCAAACACTCAAAAAATCGATCCCGTTATATTAAATTATAATTTTTTTTCTTAATTTCTTTTATTGTATCATTTAAAATTTAAGTTTACACGTTATTTTCTTAAAAATATCGATAATTTTCTCAAAATATGTATTTCGATAAAATTTTCTTGACATGTGTATACTATAGTGTATGAATAATATCTAAAATAAAAATTGTATTAAACTACAAATTAATCAAATATTAAATGATTGAATATGTGATAGAAATGAGTGATGCAATGTTTTCGGAAAAAAAATATAGAGGGGATAAAAATTTGAGTTATGTGTTTTATTTATGGTACCATTGACTCTTTTGTCTTTAACCTATCCAATCCAATACCATGGTTGTTTTATAAATTAGTCTTTGATCAATTCCAAATATTTTTTTTTACATGTAATTTTTAAAAATATTGCAATTTCATATACTTTAGATGGGTGTTCATATGTTACGACGACTATTGGAAATTAACTGAAACACTTTTTAATTAGATATTTTATTATTAGTTGTTAGTTAATCTTAGTCCAAATAAGATATTGCTTTATTAGAGTTAATTTATTTTTTAATTTAGTTGTCTTGTTAGAGAAAATCTCTTGGTCTTCTTGAGCTATGTCCACATAGCCTTATTTTGACAAAATAGATTTTTTGAAAAAATAATCAGGCCTGCAGGAGGAGACAAAACAAATGAGAAAGAGAGGGGGGAGAAGAGAACAAGACACTAGGCCCCCCCTGTGTCTCATTTAATCCATGTAAATGAGTTAAAATTGACTTTTTAAATTGGGTTGGGATAAATTTTGAATAGAACTTTTGATGTTTTTTTTACTAAACGTGAAATATATGAATTCCACGTACTTTTTTTTTTCTTTTTTTACTAGAATTATTTCCTTATAACTCGCAATTCAAACATACCCTAGTCTTGAGAGTGTTATGCACTAAATTCCTATTATATCTGTGGACATTAGGTGGAAATGAGATTGTTCTCTGTGGGAGTCCAAATCAATGAATGCATCCTCGACTTTGACCTAATAGACTCTCAGGTCTCTTGAGGACCATTCTTTATAGTTTACTTGATAACCTCAGCATTAGACCACAGAATTTTAGACCCTGGTTGTTAAGGCAGACCACAAAATTGTTTATCCTTTCTTATATTTGAAAAATCTGAAAAATAATAATATTGGAATTGGAATTTTTAAGGTATAATGAGAGAAAAAAATGCATTATTCAATTGGATTCAGGACACTTCTTGCTTTCCACACAAGGTTTTGAAATTGGGTTATGTTAGGGGATAAGTCTACTGTCTACAATACCCACACCAAAAAAGTAAGAGTATCGTACCGAAAAATAGATCTCATTCGTAAATTTTGTATTAGTTTATTTATGACTTTTAGTCTCCAACAAGATTTTTTATTTTAGCTATTCAAAAATATACTTTTTTTTATTTTAATTACTCATTTTTTCAACACATACTCCAATGGGTTTTCTTTTAAATATTATTTATCATATCTTGTATCTTTGTTAGGACTATTAAAGAAAGAGAGAAAAAATGGAGGAAAAAACAAAAAGTAGACAAGAGAGGTAAGAAATGACAAGAGAAGAGAGAATATACTATAAATTGTTTACATATAATACTATAGTGATGCTCTAAATATAGAGCATGACCGTAACAAAAATGTATTTTACCTACTTTGAACATTTTTTGTTGGAACATGTTTTTTATCTTTGAATAACTAAATGTTAGATATTATAGTGTTTTAGTCATTCTCTTATGCTCCGTTTGGTACGATAAAAAAGTGGGAGGATGAAAAGTTGGAAGAATAAATAAAACATCATGTTTAGTAAGAAAAGAAAGTAGGAAGGATGGAAATGTGGATAAATTAACTTTCCTTCCAACTCATCAAAATCAATTCCTTTAAAATCGGAAGGAAAGTGAATGAAAAATTAATTATTTGTATTGAGATGTATCTTATTTGTTTATATATCTTATGTATACATTAATTTCATATAAAAATATAATGGTAAAATATGTATATATATTTTAAAAATAAAAAATAAAAATAAATAAATTTAAATTAAAAAAAATTATTTTTTCCATCTTAACTAAGAGTGAAAATTTTCGACTCAACACGATGACACAACTCGAACTCAATACGAAAATAAACAGGTCAACTTGTAACTCGATACGACATAATTAGTTAAATGAGTTAAGTTAGGTTTGACAAATATTCGACACAAACTCGTAATGACTCAACACGAATCTGACACGACTCGATTGTCATCCCTAATTTTAGCCAACACAAAAAAGAAAAGTCATTTTTATTTTTCATCCATCCATCCAACCAAACACAAAAGAAGGAAAATGTATCAATCTTACTTTCCATCCTTGAAGGATAGAAAATATATCTCTCCTTCTTACTTTTTATCCTCTCCACCAAACGGAGCATTAGAGATGCTCTTAGATGTACAGTATTAAAACAATTAATAGGAGTACAAATTTTGAATAATCAAAACAATACTCTTTGCAAATAGATTGAAAGACAGAAATATAGTGTATATTACCTCATACCTCTGATTTTATCTCGTATCGAAATCGTGCGCAGTATGAAAATGAAACCAAGTAGTATTTTAGAACAATTATAAAATAAAGTAATTATGACTTATTTAAACCAAATTTTTTTTTTGGAGTGAGTAGCCGAAGATAATAATGTCCAAATTTGATCTAAAAATATTTAACAAAGATCAAATTTAAGTGATTTTTGTTAAATTGAACCTATAGAAAGTTGGACTGTTGAGAGTTTTTCGCGACTATTCGGAAGGTGCTAGCTGTTGCTGAATCTCATTGTTAGAGATTACTGATGTGTACTACTTATTATGAACTGTGTGGTGTGATCTTAAATGCCCATACTGATGAGTGTGACCTCAACCTTAATCAATTCGTGGTATCATCGATTGATAATAAACTCATCACTTTTTTATCGGTTAGTGAGGATAGGCCCAAGTACCTAACACACACGAGAGACACCGGCAGTATTCATGAACTTTGAATGGTGTGGCTTGAAAGTCTTCCTCGTACAGTTGGGGTGAGGAAAATCTGGTATTTAGGGATGGAGTAATGCTAGATGAGATTTAGAAAGTAGACTTAAAAATTAGATTAATAATCTTAATTATTTAATAGACAGTGAGTACCAGTAAATGTTGAGACCCACAGTAAAATTAATGGTTAAAATTATTAAGTTTAATTTTTAAATTTATTTTTTAAGTTTATGTAGCATTACCCTTAGAAATGAGTCCTATAACGAATTTATTCGAATTTGGCACGGAAAGGATCAAAATATCAAAATTTTCACCACAACCTTTTTCTAGACATTTCTTTCACAGGGAATACCGGAAACACCCCAAGTCATTTTCATTGAGTTTTGAATGAAATGATATATTAAAATGTGGCCTGATCTANCAGGGAATACCGGAAACACCCCAAGTCATTTTCATTGAGTTTTGAATGAAATGATATATTAAAATGTGGCCTGATCTACATACTCTGGAAAAAATGTGGGCATATCGAAATTAAATGAGAGTTATTAATTTTAGTTTGATTAATTTATTAATAAAACAAATTAAATAAAAAATAAGAGAATCCTATAAAAAAAGGGTAAATCCCATTTTGCACTTTGAGTTTTAAAAATTCTCAGTTTGTCCCTCGAATGATTAATTTTTTTATATTGTCCTCTCAAAAAAATAAAAATATTACAATTGGATCCATTGTATTATTTTTGTTTGATCGTCCATCTGTTTTTTGATTTTTTATTAGTTAATTTGACACAAAACAGACAGACGATCAAATAAATATAGTGGACCACATTATAACATTTTATTTTTTTGAGGGGACAGTATTAAAAAATTAATTATTTAGATAATAAATTGATAATTTTTATATCTTTGAGGGATAAAGCGAAATTTTCCCAAAAAATTAATACGATGGATCCATTAAAAATGTAAACATCAAGTTGGCCAACTTGGGGGAAAAAACACACCGGGGCGGGACCAGGTGGGCCATGGCATCTTTTCTTCTCACATAAACAATAAATAAATATGTTCAGACAAAAAAGTCGTATGACACGTTGATCCGGAGGGACAATAAGACAGCATCATCCTAAATGCTCCTTGCTTACATATTTGTTTGTTTAATTCATATTAATTTATCTAATAATCAATTTTATACCATGCATATATACATTGTGTTTTGTCATATTCTTACCAAATTTAATTCTATTCTAATCAAAATATGCATTAATCTATCATACATATTGTATATATCTGACTCCTTACACTAATAAAAATTTCATACACTACATTTTTTTTAGTCTATCAGACATATCTATACATCATTTAAATCACAAAGATTAAGTGTAAATCCGTTAGTATGTTAATTTCATATTTTTTTGTACTTTAAAAAATTC